AGAGAGAGAGAGAGAGAGAGAGAGAGAGAGAGAGAGAGAGAGAGATACTGGGGAATTGAACCCAGGCCCTTCGCACTGAGCTACATCTCCAAATCTTTTATCATTATCATTATCATCATCATCATCATCATTATTTTGAAACAGGTCTCCCTAAATTGCTAAGTTGCCCTTGCTAGGCTCAAACTTGTGATCTTCCTGCCTCAGCTTTTCAAAGTGCTGGGATGACAGGTGTGTGCCACCATGCCCAGCACCCACAAAGAATTTACAGTACAAAAGAAAGACCAAAAGATCTTTTGAGCCTAGCAGGCCCAGGGTAGAGATAGGACCCCACACTGCCTAGTACATACTATGTGCTCAATGTTTGTTGAATGAGTAACGCCTAATCAGAGATAAAGCTGTATAGCAATTAGCCAGCCACATCCTGGTGAGAAGGTTGTTTCAAGTGGATGCAGCAGTACCAGCCAAGCTAGGGAAGCATAAATCAGTCTAGCACCCACATTCAGCCCCAGGCATCTGCACAGGTGCTGACAGAAGGGGCAGACAGTGGCAGAGGAAGGCAGGGCTGGGGTGCCCAGAACTGGTCAGGAAGAGCCTTGTTTTCACATTGGTAAGTTGGTGACTCTCAGGCAGCAAGAAATCACAGAACTGTCTCCATAGGATAGATCTAGGCAGGCGGACAATAGAATAGTTCAAGGAGGAGTTAGCAGGAACTCCAGGTCTGAGGCTCACAGATAGCAAAAATGAAGTGGGGATAGAGATTTCACAGCTAGCAGGAATGACAGGGTGGACACAGATATTAGAAGGGAAATGGGCAGGACAGACACATTGAATTTGGAATGAGGAAGAAAGAAGAGTCTTAGATAACTCACAGATCCCTGCTCTGCACAGCAGTCTGTGGCCTGGCTGTCTGTTGACTAAGATGAGGAGAAGGACAAGGAGAGCAGAGGTGCAAATTTGCAGGAGAGGGTGACGGGCTTGCAGTCAGGAGCACAGAGTGTAAAGTACTCACACTATTTACCTAGTCAGCACTTGATACATCTGAATCTGATGCAAGTTTGAAAAAGTTGGAGATACTGACTTAGGAGTCATTAGTGTCTAGGGAGCAATTTAAATCTTCAAAACAGATGAAAAATCCAAAGATTGCAGGTCCAGAGAGAGGAACAAGAATCCTAGAAAATAGCAGCATAAAAGTGTAAGCAGACCAGTCAGGTGTTCTATTGCATACCTGTAACCCCTGAACTCTATGAGGCTGAGACAGGAGGACTGTGAGTTCAAGCTCAACCTGGACAACTTGGGGACTTAGAGACATCCTGTCTCAAAATGAAAAAAAAACAGGTCTGAGGATGTAGCTCAGGTTGATGGTCCTGGGTCCAATTCCCAGTATCACCACTCCTACCAAATGTGGATGCAGAAGGTGGAAGAGAAGAAAGAAAGAACTCGAAGAAATGGTGAGGGACATCAGAAAGAAAAAGCAATGTTAGAAGCCAAAGCAAGGGGAAAAAAATCTAGGAATGATGAAAAATCATATCTATAATAAATGCTTAAAATAGAAACAGAATGCAAAACCACACAGAAACTCTGACTATAACAAATATCTAGGCTAATAATTCCTGAAGTTGAACATTAAGTATTCCCCTCCATCTTCCTCATACTTAAGGCAGAATAAATGTGATAGATTTTGTAAGGCTCATAATTGGGACCGGAGAGCTTATTTGTTCTTCAGGGAAAATAATCTGTAGAATGCCTAGGAGCATAAAAACCTAAGAAGGAAATACAACATGTTCTCAGATCCTACAACTAAGTTATTGTTGCTTTGCTCTCTGCAATTATGCTCTAGAGCTGGAAGTTGCAGGTAGGAATTCAAAACTCCAGAAATCGCCCCCGTTCTGTCAAAACTTTGCTGTATTACACTCACTTGTCTGAGATTGAAACCAGCAAAGAGAAAAGCCAGTCTGGGTCACTTTGATCAAAGTTCACCTATGTTTTAAATTGTCTGATGGGAGAGATACTTCACAATCACAGGCACTGCTGCCTGATACCACGCAGCACCTTTTCTCTCTTATCCTTTAGAAAATGCCAAAAACTCTTGAGGGAAGCACCACAAAGCTTCCAACATTATGCACAGAATATAGACATAAGATACAAGATGGTGACTGTTTTCCTTACGGAGAAGAGCCAGGTTAGTGCCTAGGGCGAGAGGTTGCACAAGTCAAGACTACTGGTTTTCATGCTTTTTGTGTTTTCTGCTACTCAGATTCTTAAGCCCCTGAACACTGGTCCACAAGCTCAGTACAAGGCAAATTTCACATAAAAACAGGAGACTCTCAGAACTTGCTAGGAAACTATTCTCTGTGAGGTGAATTGTAGTGAGTTGCATAGTATTCACTGCCCCCCAAATCACATCCACTCAGAACGACAGACTATCCTAACCCTAACCCTAACCTTTACTAGAGGTAGAGTCTTTGCATTGTGACCCGGTTAAGGATCTGAGATGGGAGGTTTATCCTGGATGTCTTAGCTACTTTCTCATTGCTGGGACAAAACACCCAATAGCCAAAGTTAAAAGAGGAAAGGTTTATGTTAGTTCACAGTTTGTAAAGGTTTGAGTCCATAGTTGGCTGACTCCAAGGTTGGACGGCAAGGCAAAAAGGTCATCACAGAGGAGACATGGTCCATGGCAGGACAAGCAGGAGGCAAACACTCTTTCCTTTTTGTCTCATCCAGGCTGCAAGCCTATTGGTTGGTGCCACTCACATACAGAGTGGGCCTCTCCATCATCCAGACCCAGAACTATGCTAAATCAATCGTGGACTAACTTAGTTATTACATGCCCTTAATCTGTATTCACTCACCTTAGATCCAGCCACCTCCAAAAAGGCCACCTATGGGCACATGAGACTTTGAGGGAATATCTGGATACAATTCATAGCACTGGATTATCCAGTGGGCCCTATATAATCAATCCCAAGGGCCTACATAAAAAGGAAGCACAAAGATCAAAGAAAGGAGATGTGACCAAGAAACCAAACAGAAAGAGATACGAAGATGCTAGTGTTATGACTTACATTTAGATGTCCCACCTCAAAGCCTCATGAAGTCATAGGAGGGGTTTTCCAGAGTTGGATAAATCTAGGGTGTTTGATGTTGGGATTAAGGATGTGATGCTAAGATTAATGATGGCATGCTTGTGTGTAAGTTCTTAGGGTGAGTAGCCTGGATGGAATATAAGGGACAGAAGGAGGGCTATTGCCATCACTTGCTGTCACTGCTGCTTCACTGTTTCACTCTGTTTGCTGCCTTCTGCCTAGCCTGCTACACACCATGGACAGTTTTTCCCCTGCATTGCCCCTCTGCCATACCCCCCTGCCTTGGAGCCAGCCAATTATGGACTCAATCTCTACAATCTTTCAGCCAAATAAAATTTTCCTCCTTTAACTTTGGGTGTTGGGTATTTTGTCTCAGCAACAAGAAAAGTTACTAAGAGAGCCACATTGCTGGCCTTGACAGTCGAAGAAGGGGCCACAAGCCAAGGAACACAGGTGGTTTC